GGGTGAACAGATGGTTCAGCAGCAGAATTCTGTAACAGCACGATCAGTGAGCATAAAGAGTGATATTTGTGTATGCGTGTGGCAGATTGATAAGAGCATATGGCTGTGCACACACGAGGAAACGTATATTAGCTTCAGAAGTCTATCTCTTACCAGCCTGGTACTCTGAGGAAATTTGTTCAAAGTCGAAGGCGCGCTAGAGCTTTCAAGGTGGTCTTCAACAGGAACTTCGCCTTTCTTAGGAGATTTCTCTATTGTAAAAATGGAGCCTCTTGAAGCTTTTCTTGCAACAGATTTTGATCTTCTTCCAGTCATTCCACTGTATGTTGATACTCTTGGAGTGCTGACCAGGGAAGAGAGAGATCTTTCCTTTCTCTTTGCAGGTAATGTGACTGGAGTCACAACTTCAGGAGCCTCCACCTTCCTCCTTTTGAATGGAAATATCTTAGACCTCACATCTTGCAAATTATGATCCACCCTAATCACCAAATATCAAGTTATAGCCCCCGTTTGATTTAGATAAAAAGGTTGATAAAAATCTATGTCAAAGTTAATAATTAACTTTAACCACATATTCTACGAAATTTTATCAAATTTTTAACCACACATTTCATCGACTTATATCAAAATTTACTAACATATGATTTTTAGCTAAACCAAACAGGGGCATAAGCTTTAATGAATGTTTGTGTCTCTCCAAATTTACAAATTAGGGCATTTGCAAGCATTCAAGTGGAACCAAAAATTTTGTTGTTGAATGAAGCCTGTGAAAAGAGCTATAAATCAGGTTAAATTTTAGAGTTCTCTGTTAACTATAAGCACCTTTAACTTCATACCTATTTAATTATAATTCGAATGATTAATATATGGGCCGATAGAATGAAAAGTGCTATGATTATGATTATGTTAGATAGAATTTAATGAAGACTTCCTCTAAGAAAAAAAAGAGTTAAATAAAGAGTTGAAATGCTGAACCTGCTTGTGAAAAATATTACACTTACAGTGGAGGTAATATGAGATCCAAATTTCAGTTTACTACAATAGAAGTTCAATAATGTACCACACTAACCTAAAGGTAGATTCTTCACTTTATGAACAATAAGCTTAGCATTTTAAAAAAGTATGACGCAAATGTGAAAGAGAAAAGTAACTAATAGGAATCCTAGTGAAGAGCTCGGCAAACCAGACAATGCACAGTGTTTCAAAGGTATCCAAATGATTTGAGGGTGATGAGAAATGAATAGATTTTTTTTTTAATTATTACATGCAATCTCAGTTATCATCCAGAAAACACATAGAAAGAAATATCGAGACAATTTGTATATGTACTTCTCTGTGTGCGCGTATGAGAGAGTGGATATAAACAAAAAAAAGTTTGAAGAAGTATCTGACCTCAACTTTTCCAATGGAGCACATCCTAAATGGATATTGCATATTGGACAGCATTCCATTTCCTCATCAGAGAGCTTCTTATATATGCATTTCCTGCAAACTGCANCTTTCCATTTCCTCATCAGAGAGCTTCTTATATATGCATTTCCTTCAAACTGCAGTATATAGCAAGATTATCAGATTCCTCACTAAAAATTACTGGTACAAACAAAGAAAGAGAATTTCTTGAATCCGTCACAATCTAAACGAGAATAGAAGGCAAATGTCATTATCTGACCTTGAGTTTAAGGACGACCCAACAGTAATCTTGGTTGTAAAGCAGTAGAAAGTGTTCTTATTTTAGGAATAACTATATAAATGGTCAAATATTGCAAGACAACACAGAAACATATACTCTTAAACAACTGACAGTTAAGTCATAATGCTGATATTTACTTCCCTGACTGTTGGTGGATGCCAATAGCACTGATCAATTTTTTTTTTATACTAAAATAAAAATAGCTAACCTCTCTAACAAACAAGAGGAGAGGCAGAAATTATACAAACTTGAAATTCTAATCTGACGCCAGAACCATAATCCACGGGATGAGGATCAGGAGGAGAGGAGGGAGAAGTCTCATTCAGAAATAATTCAAATTTCGACAATCCTTGGGGAAAAAATAACAAAAGAATACAAAATAAAATTGCTGCTTTA